ACTATATAGTATTGGTAAATAATTCATAATTTATTTAGCCCATGTATTTTTAAGCTATCCTTCAGGTTATGATAGAAAACCAAAAGTATTTGACTAATACTTAAATCCTAATCCAGTGAATGAGAATTTTAAGAGAATTTAAATAGTTTGTGCGCCTTCACTGAAAGCTAAAGTCAACGATCATGCTGACCTTTCGGTTATCACAGTAACATGCTAAATAATGGAAACATATTAGGACTATTGAACACACTAAACATATATTGTACTAAATTCTAGTCCAATGCACGGTAAAATAACCCTTTTAAACTATTGCTATGAAAAATAAATATTTGACACTATTAATTATTGCAAGAAATTTTTGAGTTAAACTCTGTATTAAAGTTTCATACTGTAAATTTATATTTTGATATTCTTGTCTATTTTTAATGATAATCTACATAATTTCACTACTGGTCATATTTATTATTAGTGTTTCGGTGGAGCCTATTCGGTGGAGTTTATTCTTATTATAGAACTATAGAGGGCGTTAATATAAGTTGGAAATGTTCATATCAATTCAATGCTTTTATGACAATGATTATATCAACAAATAATAATATATTACATTTCTTCTCTTTTCAGAGAATGATAATGTATTAGTTACCACAAAGAAGCTACCTGTGTCCAAGAACGTAGATCATGATCAGTTTTCTGGAAGTACTATAATGACAGTAGGAATCGTTGCATGTGTTATTGTAATTTTTATAACAGTCACTGCTGTAACTTACACTTACATTAAGAGTGGTGTAATGATAGAATGTATACGAAACATCAAACCACGAATTAAATCAGCGGAGTTTTCAATTCCGTCTGAACAAGATAAATGTTCGCCGGTACATCGTCCTTACAAGAGTGACTTGCCTAGTGATATGGACGACAGAGGGAACCCTGACGGAAAAGTCAGTGACAGAAGTCACATCTATCTAGCCAAGGAGGAGGATCATTCAAATGAGTTCCCTCATCGCCTTATCTCCGTAGAAAGCGACGACTGTCGTAAAGACCCATTGGGACAAGATCAATCGTTTACAGGAAAAATAAATGCTTCATTCGACGACCGTTTTCCAGATGGCCAAAGAAATCATAGGTATTCGTTTACTAGTGATGGTAGTCGCAGTAGCCGTCTTCAAGATGTACAAATTAAATATACAATGCGGGAGAGACCAAGTGGATATTCTCGTCAAACCTCAATCAATAGCTGTGATTCATCTAACACGTTACCATCAAACTTTCAATTTTCAGCCCCGTATATCAATCGAGAAGGAAACCTAACGCCACTTGGATTTGCCATTACCAGAAGTTTGAGTCTTAATCATGAGAAGAATAGCCAACGTGATGGTGATAAAGAGGACCCGACTCAGCAACAGAGGTCACAAAGCACCTGTGGAATTAGTAGTATGCTACCGGAAACTCACTTGATTAATCTTGATAAATCAGCTACTCCTTCAGAAACACAGGTCGTTGTCCATTCAGAAAATGTGGAGAGCGATACTAGGAGTCCTACAACTCGTGCTCCACGAAGGTTACCCGTGACTCCTCGACCAGCTTTCTATGAATTTCAAATTGAACAACCGGAGCCTGAATCACCTCATCGTGCTGTCACTCCAAATCGACAGAAGGTCCCAAAGACCCGTCGTTTGAGCTCAAATAAAAACGTTGTTATGACAATCAACGAGGAAACCTTTGAAGCTACGAATGAAGAGAGAATAGGCGAAGAGCCAATGAGTCCATCGGAAAGTGTCGCTAGTGCCATGTCTGTAACGAGGGAGTCACCACCTGGTGGGCCAGTGAGGCGTCTGAAACAGAAGGCAGCTAAACGGCAGCGCAAGTCTACCGAATGTTTATCATCTGCTGAGTCGGATGCGAATGGTATGAGATTATCAATATACAGCACAAGCTCACAAGACTGTATGTTCAGTGATGAACAACCGTCACCCATGAGAAAATACGAAGGGAAAGGTGAGAAGCATATGTGGAGGCAGGTATTTCTAAGCGATGAAAGTCTCACAAAGACCATTTCTGAAAACGGGGATGGGAGTACAAATTCCAGTCCTACGCGTAGGAGGCTTCCTGAAACGCCGACCAATCGCCCGAATTCTTTTAATAACAACAAATTCCCATCCAATTCACAACTCTGCGGTGACATGATAATATATCAAGAGGAAAATGAACTAGAATTCGATAACTACATGCCGAACCTGCCGGGGTCCTACTTTGAAGGCAACTTTAACTACCCCTCAGGAGATTTGGGGTCTGACATGGATTTATTCGAGGGTCTTGAAATTTCGAAGGTTTAGGAACGTATAGAGACATTAGAGCAATTATAAACGTACTATGAATAGCATAGCAACCAAAATAATGTTAGACGTTAAAAAGAGAAAATAATGCAACGAGCGTATGGCATAGAATGCACAATTGCAACAAGTATTATGAAAATACTATTTATACAACACCTTCATACAGAATTGGCAAGTTTAAAATGAAAAGATGCAACACCATCAATTATTGTCGTTGTCCAATAATTGAGTACTTCATTTCTGCAATGTTTCATTATATTTGCGACTTTCCTCTCGGATTGTTTAAAACAGTCACTTCAAAGATGTATTAAAACCAAAACAACAACAACATCGATTTGCTTTCAAACGCATGATAATTCCATACCGGTGTTCAATGTAGATGTGCATACTAAGTACGGTAGTACTCGTATTAGATTGGTTTTAGATTATAAAGGTCTGGATATATTATATTATACATGTTGTATATATTAATTGATAAACTTTTATTTTTTATGTTTAATACATTTAAGGCCAATACTGATAGAAAAACTTTAATGTAAATCATTTTAACGTTATTGATATGAATAATATTAAAAAAAAAACAACAACAGAAACAGTATCTATTTTTATTCTAAAATTATTGTTGGAAGCCTGTGAAATACAATATACAACTAGGAATTTTAATAGTCTTTAAAATGTTATGTAATATGGTTTAAAAAACGACATAGTATTATAATAATTTGTTTACATGTTAATTGACTCAACCAACCATGTGAATTAAGAAGTAGAACGTTTTCCTGAAGTCATGTAAAATGTTCTTATTAAATTTTTTTAAATAAATTAAATTTGGTTATTAGCCCTTTCAAAGACTATCAAAATAGTATTTGACAAAAACATGTGACATGCCTAAATATGGCCGATTCAGGTCACAATTAGAAACATCATGACTACTATATGGGCATATCGTAGTTTGGACAAAGCTTAAGAATGAGTCTAACAAAAATAAAACACAAAAGATTTACAACACATTATTAATGTATTGTGTATTACAGCATAAGAAACGGAAAATGTCTAAGCTTATCATGAATGCAACTTTAAGTGAAAATACATGTATTATACACGAAATATGTGTTAGATATAATTAAGTTATTATAATGTAATACCAACAGTTTTGAATAGAGTGGAGTTGAATAGCTCAGTGGTTAAGTTGCTTGCCTTCTGATCCCAGGGTCCTGGGTTCAATTCCTGTCACAGCAGGACTTTTTCTCACGACCAAAACAACTCCACTCCCTAAGCCTCATAAAAAGACTTACTTTATAAAGCATCATTCCATCCTGTAAGTGGCAAGTGTACTTGCTGTTGGATGTGAAGGAAATAAAAATAAAAATAAAAAATAGGGAAAAAAAACATTTTGCTTGTGATGTCGCTTATAATAACGGTCAGTGGTGTAACATCGTTGACCCCTTATGTCCCAAATACTGGTGGAAAAAATACGGTCCGGTAATTTTGATTTTTAACACAATCTGCTTCTTAAGAGTCCAATATTTCGGAAAAAAACTAAATTCCCGAATAGTATGGGTCCCCTGGCTTTTGCTAGAAAGAACACTTAGGTATTACGCCACTGTTTAACGTTACAAATTTATAACCATATATCATTGCCATACGTGATGTGATCCTGTATGAATTTCTAGGTTCAATAACATAGTGATGAAAGGATAAAACATCTATAATTAGGGAAAATAATCTAAGATAACAATTTGGAATTAGTTTTTTTTTAACCATCACTGCACAACATTGTGAGCTATTATAGTAAAAATATTTATTGTTGAAATTGTTATACGAGTTGATTCTAAGAGTTCATGTAGCAGTATGTAGTCTGATCTGATTGCAATATAATTTTTAATTTTTAGAAGATTTTCGGTGTTTGTGAAACTGCATATGTTTATTTTATATTTACTTTTTGAAAATGAAATAAAGTACAGGGATTAAGCTGCTTAGCTTCTTGTTTTATTACATAGAATTAAAACGTGTATTTATGGTTGCAAATACCACTTAAAACCTATTGAAGCTAATACAATATTAATCAAGAAAATATCTAATACATTTATTATAGGATTAATTCTGGCATTGTTGGCAATATTTCATACTATAAAAATTGTACCCCTTGGGTACAATTATTATACGAATGGGCAAAAAAAACCATAAAAAATATTCCTTTTTTAGCGAAACCTCAGAAGGTATACCCTTAGGTTTCTGTCGGAATTTTCCGGTAATTATGTGTTTCGTGGCACCTATGGATCACAAAAGTACCAAACATTAAAAGCATAGGTTAAGCCTATATAATGTTGTTTCGGATGATATTTCATTACACGCCTAACTGTACGAGTCTGGGATAGTTTAAAACATAAATAGGGGCAAGTAGAGTGGCCGAGTAGTATTAAGGTAGATGCGCCCGCTAACTATAGCCTTAACATCGGCACTTGTTACAGTCGCTTTTTGCAAAGGGTTCGGTTGTTAGAACCATCTCTACTTGGATAAGGACTTAAATTGATTGTTCCATTCTATTCTGGAAGATCATAACCACCCCCTCTATGATAATCTAAAATGCAATCACATCCAACGGGTGCGGCCGTTTACGTACTAACCGCTATCTTCTCTCTTTCTATCCAATTTTTAATAATTTTAAACGTAACTAATTTAGTGTCTCTCAAACTTTATTGTACATCTCTATATTTCAACCAATTTTAATAGTTTTAATAATGTATTACAATGTATTATTTGCATTCATCTGGTATCCCTTTTTTAAATAACTCCTTTAAACGTAAATATTTGTTGTCTTTCAAACTGGACTGTACATATTTCTATTTTAACCAGTTTTGATAGTTTTAACAATGTACGAGCAACGAATTTCCGTAAAAGGATGCAATAAAGTGAGTCTGGGTTCTTTTCAGCCTTGTCGTTAGTGGAATGAGGTGAACATGTAGCTACAATAAGCGCATCTTTACAGCCACTATGTAGTCACGGACCACGGCCATACGCAATTCAGCACAGTGAAGCTGCGAGTTAACGGGTTTTTTCTCCTACTATTAATTTTGATGATATTTCATTACGCCTAAGTTTCAGTTTTGGTCTTTAATTTTTCCCCATAAATTATTGAATACAATCATTGTTGGTAACAATATTACAGATTATTTATGAAATTTTTGAAACTACCACAGAGCAACACTCTCATTTTCTAACTACCACCACGACTGCTGAAAATCAATGCAACTCCTCTCTCTAAAGCACTACTTAGGCCTACTATTATCAATTGGGCAATATGTGACGATACGTTCCCACAAGCATGGAAAATCGCTAGTACATGCCCCATACATAAAACAGGTAGAAAAAAAGTCACTAATTACCACCCAATATCAATTCTACCAACCTAAGCTAAACCATTTGTACGTTTAATTTTTAACCACTAATTTCAACACGTCTCACCCGTTCTCTCCTCAACTCAGCATGGCTCTTCATACCAAATAGATCATTGTACTAACAAACTTCTAACATTATTTTCTATTACATATCAATCATTTGACAATAAAACACAATGTTACGTCGCATGCAATGATTTCCCAAAGGCTTTTGACACTGTTGACCACAAACTCCTCATTTATAAACTTTCTAAATCCACGCCTTTTACAAGATGATCTACATAAACTTAACTAATGGTGCAATACTTGACATATGGTACTTAGCTTAGGTAAATATAAAGTTTTAAATACTGTATTTGTATTAATAACAAACAACAATTATTTCCTTATAGGCTTGGTATATTTATTATCATATTTTAGACAATGTAAATTCTCATTGTGATCTTGGTATAATTATCGACTCTAAGCTTAAATTTAATAAACATATTTAACATAATAATTACAAAATCTTATAAGACGTTAGGACTCGTCAAGCGAAATTGCTGGAATATCAAAAATGGAAATANNNNAAGGCTACTAGACTTGTCCTTAAGCCTGTCTCTTATACACATCTAGATGTGTATAAGAGACAGATATAGGCCTATATCAAATCTATATTACATATTCATGGAGTAAGTTTATTATAAAAATAAACCTATAATTTTATAAATTTAAGCCAATGTTGGAAACACATATTGCACGTACAGGGGCCGATAGAAGAAGACTTTCTCCATGGTACCTGTTGATTAAAAAAATTATCATTATTGTGTTATCGGCTAGGTTAGTGTTTAAGATTACCTTTGTTTAGAACATGTGCTGGAACTACAAAAGGCTACTAAATCCGAGCCATACAATTATTGAGCAATAAAAACAAATGTTATATCGTAGTAAATACTAATATTAAATAATAATAAGATAAATATCGATCAATAATTTAGTTTGCCCTACAAAATCCATATCATTAATTTATATCGAACGTGTCTAACTCTAGACACAGATGTTTCTATTCTTCTCAAGGCATTTTTAATACTTGACTGTGAGGTCATTGACCGAAGCACTTGCTGATTTATGGGCACTCCCTGAGCCTAGAAGCCTTTAAAGGTTGTGGACGCTTTTTTCCAGTTTTAATACAAGTTTTAAACTAAATTGCCAAGTTCTTAACTGTAATGTACCCGATTTTTACCTGACGAAATTGATTTTGTATGTATTTTGATATTTTTGCCGTTTGTACATTTTGCTGTCGTTTTACTACTATGGATAAGTGCAAGTTTTTATATCTTCAATTTTTCGCTTTTACCATTTGCTCTATGATTATTTATGTGAACAGTGAACTTTACAGTGCCGATCATCCGGTAACTACAGTTTCTATATCTCTTTTTGTATCAGGCTGCGACATCAGTATTTTGTACTTTGATAATTCCATCGATACCACGTCACACCTGTTCTATGACGTCTCCGTTAAGCCAAATCATTCGGAGCCACCTGGCAGTGGCACTAAAGACAACTATATATTTTACATTATTGCGGTATCACGACGCAATGTTATATCTACTCAACCCCCATATATGGGGGGGTGACTCCACTCTGAATTGTGATCCTAGCTGTGAGTTTATTTTTTAACAAGTGTCATCTTGCTTCGTTTAAAGACCTATTAAACCATATGGGCGTCCAGTTTGTATGTTTTTTGCAAAATACATTATACCATCCGTTCATCAAGCGCAAATTCCAAAGACCCCCTCATGTCATTTACTCAAACTCAACTGCATCATGTCATTTCTACAGTCTGTCACGTGACGGCGACATTCATCCTAACCCTGGACCTGCTCAACACAATGGACCTGGACTACAGGAGCAACAGCAACATCATCACTCAGCATCATTAAGTATAAACCGTGTGAACATGAATGCTCGCAGCCTACGGAACAAAACCACCCAATTTCAAGCATTTCTCTCTGTTTTAGTGCATTGATATTTTAACCATAACCGAATCATTGCTCACGTCTGATGACTTAACTTCATCTTTAGGATTTCCTCAGGATTATTTTTTAATCCGAAGAGACAGATCTACCAAGAAAGGAGGTGGTGTGCTTGCAGCTATAACGACTGAACTGAATCCAATTCATTGTCATGAACTCGAGTCTACGCCTCATGAAATTACATGTTTTTCTATTTCAGTTGGTAATTGTAAAATGCTCTTTTCCGTTTGTTATTGTCCACCTAATTCCCTGTATCATTTTGAAATGATTTTAGTAATAATTTTCTTGTTTTTTTACTACCTTATTTACCTAAGTACGATAGTAAATATATATCGGAGACTTTAATTTAAATTGGAATCATGCAAATATTATACCCAATAATTTTATCGACACAATCAAT